CAAGAGGCCCCCAAGCCGGCCCAAGAGAGCCCCCAAACGGCCCGAGAGAGGCTAAAGACGGCCCAAGAGGGCTTCAGGACGACCCCAAGAAGGACCCAAGAGGGGAAATAAGAACCGGCATGTCGAGCTTTCCGCCCCAAGAGGCCCCCGAGAGGCCCCCAAGAGGCCCAAAAGAGGCCCCCAAAGCGCGCGCGTGGTTCTAGTAAAAAAATAGACTGGAGACGAGTTTTGGAATATTTTGTTGTTGTTGTTGTTGTTGTTGTTGTTGTTGTTGTTGTTGTTGTTGTTGTTGTTGTTGTTGTTGTTGAACATTATTCCTTCTAAAGAATTATTATTGTTGGGACCCCTGGTGCGCGACCTCTGCGCCGCGCCTAGGCCGCAGCTACATTTTCATCATTTTTTCGCGAAAGCTTCAGAAAAGTGGATGAGCTCCGGATCCGGTTTTTTGTTGACGCTCGTTTTCCCTTGCAAAAAACAATAGAAAATGAAAATTCTTGTTTTTACTTGATCAAATTGCAAGAATCCCTTGCAAAAAATAAGGTAAAGTGGACATTCGTGCGCGCAAGACGAAATCCTTCCAAAACCTTAGGTTTCGTAACGATTTTAACATAAAAACATCAAAAACCCAATGGTTTTCTCAGAAAAAATTGTCAAAATGTCCTTCCGCGCGCTCTTGCGGATTCCTAGGAAACCCACCAGATTTTAAACATTTCTGTTAAAAGGGCCTTTGCGAGGAACCTTTTCAGGTGCTTCGACCTTCTGCAACAACGGTTGCGAGCCTACGAGGGCCACCATCCCTTGCAAAAAATGACACGAAGTGCACATGCGCGCGGCCGCCGCGCGCGCGTGCCGAAATCCTGCCAAACATAATGTGATTTCAATAATTTCAAGATGCGATGTTCCGAAAACATATGCAAACGCAAGACTTTCTCATCCGAAAAATATCAAAATCCACCCGCGGGCTCTTCATGAATCTTTAAAACCCAAGATGGCCCCAAGAGGCGCTCAAGATGGCCCCAAGAGGCGCCCATGAGGCCGCAAGAGGCGCCCAAGATGGTCCCAAGAGGCCCCAAGAGGACTCCAAGAGGCCCCCAAGAGGTTCCAAAGAGGCTCCAAGTTGGCTCCAAGAGGCCCCCAAGATGGCCCCAGGAGGCGTCCAAGCGGCTCCAAGAGTCCTCCGGGAGGATCCAATAAGCCCCCAAGAGGCCCCAACATGCTTTCAAGAAGCCCCCCAAAGCCTCTCAAGAGGACCCCATGCGGCGCCAGGAGGCTTCCCCCCTTCCCCAAGAGGACCCCCAGCGGCCCCAGGAGGCTTCCCCCCTTCCTCTCACGCTCATATCCGTAGCCATCTCGGATCAAGGTATCGCCTGTGTTCTTGGATCATGGCTTTGACGGCGAAAGACCTTCACGAGCAGTATGGCGCAGAGCTGTCCCGGCCTCCCTTGGCCGACTGCGAGAGTGCGTATTATTTGCATCAGGCGCTCGCGGCAAAGGGTATCAATGCCAGTCACCAGGCGTGCAAGACTTGGTGGGCCAAGTATCGGGTTGTGACTGGCAAGGTCAGTATTTCTAGCGCCAAGGAGCTGGAGGAGCAGCACGGGTCTGCCATCCGCCACCTGGGCATCGAGTATAATACCGCTTACAAATTATGCCGGGCGCTCCGACAGTTGGATCCACCACTGTATGTGCCAGATAGGGTCGCAACGGCGTGGCTACTGCAGTATTCATCGAAAGACACGCTTGTCCAAGTGCAGAACGCTGGCCATCTGGAGAGCTGGTATGGAGAACGTATTCGCAAAGACATGCCCGAGGGGACCACTGACGGGGCCGTCTTGAAGCAGTGGCTCCTTGGACATTTATCTGTATCTGCTAACGCCAGGGTATGCCAGAAGTGGCTCAGCACGGAGTGGGGCGCCAAGGGGGCACTCAACACTGCCCAAGCTGTGGAGGAATGTATGGGCGAGCGTCTTCGACTCAATCAGTATCGGGAGAGCTTCGCCGACGATGCCGCCGCGGAGGTCCTCTCGCAGCTTCTCTCGGAGAGCGATCCTCCCGTCGCTGTCAGCGGTACGGTTTTGAGGCAATGGTACGTGAAGTATCACCCTGACTCTGGACCTTTGCAGTATCACCCTGACTCTGGGACAAATCTCCTTCTCTCTGTCTCTCGCTCTTTCTCTGCTTCATATCTATCATACGTAACACATCTACTTGTGTAATCGCCTTCCCAGGAATTTGCCTCAAAAATGTGACCAACTATCTTGGCACTGCGTACCATCTCACGTGTACCGTGTACCACATCTTCTCAGGTTGCCTCACACATGTGACGAATCTCTTTCTATCTCTCTCTCCACTGGCTCTCTGTCTTGCTCTCTCTCTCTCTCTCTCTCTGTCTCTCTGTACTATGTATGTCATACGCAACAAATGCACCATGCGGGGCACATGCGGGGCCCAAACAAGTGATCAACCTCTGCGGGTGTGTACTCCACGCCAGTGTAGTATCCACGATCGTCCGCGCGCCACGAAGTGAAGTGTCCTGACGTCATAGGGCGGGAAGCTGGGTGTGGGTGGTTCCCGAGAGTCGTGTGGATGTTTGGTAGAGCTTGCATTGCCCCCCCACGAAGTGGGGGTATTGGCTGGCGTCGCATGAAAACCCTGGCACTGGGGAGAACACTGAGCGTTCGGGTAAAATGATTGTTGTTGTTGTTGTTGTTGTTGTTGAACATTATTAATTCTAAAGAATAATTATTGTTGGGACCCCTGGTGCACGGCCCCCCTGCGCCGCCTAGGCCGCAGCTACATTTTCATCATTTTCGTGAGGAAGCCTCAGGTAATTCGATGTGATCAAGATCCGGTTGTTTTGTTCCCCCCCGCTTTCCCTTGCAAAAAACACTATAAAATGACATTTCTTGTTCTAATATAATCAAATTTCAAGAATCCCTTGCAAAAAATAAGGTAAAGTGGACATTCGCGCGCGCAAGACGAAATCCTTCCAAAACTTAGTGTTCGGAGCGATTTTAACATAAAAACATCAAAAAACCAATGGTTTTTCAACAAAAAATGTCAAAATCTCATCCCGCGCGCTCTTGCGGATTCGTAGGAAAACCCAACACTTTTTAAACATTTCTGTCAAACGGGCTTTTGCGAGCAACTTTTTCGAACTTCTGCGACAACGGTTGCGCACCTGCCAGGGCCATCATCCCTGTCAAATAATACCATCCGCGCATGTGCCCAGCATGGCACAATTGCACCATGCTGGGCACATGCGCGCCCCGAATAAGTGACCAAGTTCTGTGGGTGTGTACCCCACGCCAGTGTAGTAGCCACGGTCGTCCGCACGCCACGAAGTGAAGTGTCCCAACGTCATAGGGCGGGAAGCTGGGTTTGGGTGGTCGCGAAGAGTCGTTTGGATATTTGGTAGAGCTTGTAATGCCCCCCCACGAAGTGGGGGTATTGCCTGGTGTCGTATGAAAACCCTGGCACTGGGGAGAACACCACGCGTTCGGGTAAAATGATTGTTGTTGTTGTTGTTGTTGTTGTTGTTGTGGTGGCAATTTTGAATATTTGTTGAGTATTTGTGGTTTTTCCTCCAACATGCCCCTGTAGGGGGACACGCCCGACCTAAGCCTGGACTCGGCCCCTCCTGACTTCTCGGATGCAGCTCCTGGGAGGCCAAGTTCTGATTTTACCCTGGTCCGGGAGTTCGGCTCAATCCCGCTCAATCCCGCCTGCTCCCGCTCAAATCCGGCCTGGTCCGGCTCAGTCCCGCTGCATCCGCGGCCTCATCCGGCGCTTCAGCCTCCCGCAGTGGGGCTCAGTTCTCCGTAATCCTTCCGACGAAGACCTCCCAGTAGTTGCCTCGGGGCGACGCGAGAAAGCGGGGTCGCCTGCGCCGACATTGGCGCGCAAGGTGCCCGCGTCCCGCGTAGGCTCGCGCGTAAGCGTTCTCGTCTTCAGTGTGGCGTGCCGCGCCGGTGGCCCGCGTACTCAGCCACCGCGTAAAAGGTCGCCGTGCCATCTCGCGCAAGCCCCGTTCTTGCTCGGCGCTCTAACCTCTAATTCAAAATCGTGTAACCGACCCCTGTCCCCATCCCCATCCCCATCCAGACCCCACCATCTCATCCCCCCAGTTGGGGACACATCCGTCAAAATCTGACGGCAGCGGCTCATCTCCCCATCTGGGGGGGGGTAAACCGGCCAGCGGGGCCTGGGCCACGCGAGTGGGGATGGGGATCGGTTAAGCTCTGGACGCCCGAAATGGGCACGGAAAGAATGGGTACAATGCCTAACAGCAGTTCCTGTCCATTCTGAACAGGACTCGCTGTCCGCGCCGCCGCGGCCTGTGCCCATTGGAGACAGAAGGCCGCATGCCCAGCAGCGGCCGCTGTTGGTTTGGGACAGCATTTGTTGTTGGGCATTGTACCCATTTTTTCGGGAGGGTCCCGGCCGGCCAGGCCCCCGGTCCTGCTGAGAAAGACCGCGCCTGCAGCCTGCAGAGCCAAACCCAGGAGGAGGAGGAGGAGGAGGAGGAGGAGGAGGAGGAGGAGGAGGAGGAGAGGAGGAGGAGGAGGAGGGAGGAGGAGGAGGAGGAGGAGGAGGGAGGAGGAGAGGGAGGAGGGAGGAGGGAGGAGGAGGAGGGAGGAGGGGAGGGGGGGGAGGAGGAGGAGGAGGAGGAGGAGGGAGGAGGAGGAGGAGGGAGGAGGAGGAGGAGGGAGGGAGGAGGAGGAGGAGGAGGGAGGAGGAGGAGGAGAGGAGAGGAGGAGGAGGAGGAGGAGGAGGAGGAGGAGGAGGAGGAGGAGGAGGAGGAGGAGGAGGAGGAGGAGGAGGAGGAGGAGGAGGAGGAGGAGGAGGAGGAGGAGGAGGAGGAGGAGGAGGAGGAGGAGGAGGGAGAGGAGGAGGAGAGGGGGAGAGGAGGAGGAGGAGGAGGAGGAGGAGGAGGAGGAGGAGGAGGAGGAGTGGAGCTCAGCGATGCTCACTGCTCGGCTCCTCGCCCGAGCCCGCAGGCCTGCGCCCTCGCCGCGGGCGCCGCCTGCGCCGCGTGGGCCGCTCCCGCCGGCGGCGGGCGCGGCGCGCGGCCGCCACTCCTCGGCGCCGGGGGCGCCGCCGTGGCAGGCGCGCTTGGGCGCCGGCCGGCCCGGGCTCGCCGCGCGCCTCTCGGGCCGAACGAGAGGGGGGAAGAGCAAGAGGAAAAGGAGCAGGTAGCGCCGAGCGCGTCGTGCTTTAAAACGTACCCCAACTGCATTCCACATAGCACGACGCACAAGGGAGGATCACAGGGCGGATCCAGGCCTCCTATCAATCAGGAGGGAGAGAAACACACCGACACAAGGAGTCGTCGATTCCCCAGAAGATTTGGGGGAATATGGGAATGGGGGAATATGGGAAGGGGGGGGGGAACCAAAAACCCATCACATATGGGAAACTACGGGGAATCCTGTTATTGGGCCGCGCGACTCTCGGGCCGCACGAAAGGGGGGGATTGGGAAAGGGGGGGTTGCGAAATCTGCTGCTTGCAGCTGGTTTCGGCCCCACCGAGGGGCCCGTTCCTCGATACATAGTCGCCTCCGGCGCCGGGAAAATCAGCTCCGTGAGCTGATTCTCAAACCCCCCCTTTGCTATTCTCCCTTTCGCCCGACCCGAGCCTCGGTGGTCGGGACGATCGGATCCAGGCCTCCTAGCAAGCAGTGGCGAAGCGTCCAGGCGTGCCTGTAGGCCTACCAAACAATGTTCTAAGAGCCTATTGGTGGTTTCCACGAGATGCTCTTAGAGCATTTCCGGCTGGGACTTGTCTTGTTTCAACACATCGGGTTTATGTTCTAAGAACATTGCTCTTGTTATTAGAATATTTTTGGGGTTCTGAGAACATGTCGTGGTAGGCCTATAGGAATGCCGGGACGGTCGGCCCCTGCTCAATCCTATCGGCCACGCGCAGAGGGGGGTTAGGGGGAGGGGGGAGGGCTTCTCAGAAGCAGCCCTGCTTCTTGGAAGGCGCGGGACTTGTCTGTAGATGCAAGGCCGGCGCCTTCTAAGAAGCAGCTTCCTTCTAAGAAGCTCTCCCCCCTCTCTCCACCCCCTTGTGCGCGCCGCCAATCCTAGATGGGGTTGGAGTAGATGGGGTCGCTTAGTCAGTCTTAATCCCGCTTAATCCCGTTTAATCTGGCTTGATCCAGTTTAATCTGAGGCCCACTTCGGCGTAACAGCCCCCAAATGAGGCTTAATCCTCCTTAGTACTTCCGACGAAGACCTCCCAGTAGTTGCCTCCTAAGATGGTGTCGGAGGATCTCGACGCATCGCCGATGCATCGGCGATGCGGCTCCATGTGCAGCCCGATTTGCTTCACGTCGCCGTCGCTGATGCATCGCCGACGTCGACGATGCATCGCTGGTGCATCGGCGATGCATCGCCGATACATCGGCGACGCATCGCCGATGTATCGGCGCTGTGGCGTGATCCTCCGACCCCATCTGCTCCGACCCCATCTATGAGGCCTCTATCGGAACGGGTAGGGAACGAACTGGCGTTAAGTCTGGCATGTCCCTTCGACAGGACGAGCGTTCAAGAACGAGGCCAGGGCGAGGCTAAACCGCTCCAGAGCGTTCCGGAACGCTCCCAGAGCGTTCCGGAACGCTCTGAGAAGGCCCCGGCGCCCGAGACGTCCCCCGGAGCCGCTGGATCTCCGATACTCTCGATTTATCTTCGCCCTATGCTATTCTCGTCCTGGCTTCGCCTTACGCGGCAAAGGCTCCGTCTGCGCGCAGGAGCTTCCCAGGAGCCCACGAGTCTCCAGCTCAGTGGGATCGCCTGGCGCCGCCCGCTTGGACCCCGGGAGCTTCCCGGGAGCCTCCCGGGGGGCCTGTGGCTCAGCCTGCCGCAGTTCGCCTGGAGCCTGCCTGGAGCTTTCGCAGCCTCTGGCGCAGTGCCACTGTCCCCTTGTCTTACGTAAGTCGGGCATGTCCCTCTACAGGAGGAATGTTCAACTAGTAAACAAATAATCCAGTGATGATTTTCTGTGCTCTTTTGACGATCTTTGACTTTTTACTACCAGAACCCGCCTGGAGGAAGACATGCCCGAGCTAGAAATGATACAAAGACCGACAGCAGTTCCTCTCCATTCCCCAATTCGGCTTGCCTCAGGGGTTCTTACTATGTGAAAGGTTGGCGCCTCCTATTGCTACGTTGCCCGCTCCTCGGAGGTTGCTCGGTTTCCCGGGGTTCCTCGGGTTCCTCGAGTTCATTTTAAAAGGACATCCCCTAATTGGGGTCGTGTCTGGTTCATTTTGAACAGGAATCGCTGTCGGTGCCGCCGCGGCCTGTGTCCATTTGAGACCGAAGGCCGCGTGCCCAACAGCGGCCGCTGTCGGTTTTGGACACCGTTTGTTGTTGGGCATCGTGCCCATTCTTTCCGTACCCATTTCGGGCATCCAAATCGGTTTGTCGGGCGTCTCGTTTTTCGGAGAGTCGCCATGAAGAACGTGGTCGGGTGTTTAAGGTTTTGAGCGTTTCTGGCTTCTTGGAGGCCTCCGGGAGACCCCTCGTCGCCACTGCTGGATCGGCCTCCAAATTTTGGCCCGAACGCACGCCTGGGCAGACCCTGGGTCGATTTCAGAAGAAGGGAGGAAGATCGTCATGAAGAAGAGGCTCCTGGAGAAAAGAGATCTGGAGTTGTTCGTCGTTTTCGGCCTGCGGGGGTCCTTCGTCCCTCTGTCTGTCTGTCTGTCTGTCTGTCTGTCTGTCTGTGTGTCTGTCTGTCTGTCTGTCTGTCTGTCTGTCTGTCTGTCTGTCTGTCTGTCTGTCTGTCTGTCTACCTGTGTGCCTTTCTCGCTCACGACGTCTAAGCCTGTTGTCATTGCCTGCTGGGGATGTTGGCAGGGCCTTTCTTTGCTCGCGCTTCCCCACGCTGGTAGCGCAACCTGCTTTCGCACTACCTTCGTTTCTGTCTCTGTCTCCTTGTTCCCAACCAACCAACCTGTGTTGTTGGGTCCTCGTTTTGAAGAGACGGTCTCCGCGTTCCCTCCTTCCTTCCTTCCTTCCTCCTCCTCCTCCCGTTCCTCCTTCATTTCGTGGCCCCATACGGAGCTCCACCGAAGGCTCCAGTGGGACCGCCCGCATGCGTCATCCACCACCCAGCATCTCGTGGCCCCATAGGGAGCTCCACCGAAGGCTCCAGTGGGACCGCCCGCATGCGTCATCCACCACCCAGCACAGCGTTTCGTGGCCCCATAAGGGAGCTCCACCGAAGGCCCCAGTGGGACCGCCCGCATGCGTCATCCACCACCCAGTACAGCGTTTCGTGGCCCCATAGGGAGTTCCACCGAAGGCCCCAGTGGGACCGCCCGCATGCGTCATCCACCACCCAGTGCAGCGTTTCGTGGCCCCATAGAGGGCTCCACCGAAGGTCCCGGTGGGAGCGTCCGCATGCGTCATCCACCACCCAGTGCACCGTTTCGTGGCCCCATAAGGGGGCTCCACCGAAGGCCCCGGTGGGACCGCCCGCTTGCGTCATCCACCATCCAGCACAGCGTTTCGTGGCCTCATAGGGAGCTCCACCGAAGGCCCCAGTGGGACCGCCCGCATGCGTCATCCACCACCCAACAGCCCGCATGCGTCATCCACCACCCAGTACAGCGTTTCGTGGCCCCATAGGGAGCTCCACCGAAGGCTCCAGTGGGACCGCCCGCATGCGTCATCCACCACCCAGTACAGCGCTTCGTGGCCCCATAGGGAGCTCCACCGAAGGCTCCAGTGGGACCGCCCGCATGCGTCACCCACCACCCAGTGCAGCGTTTCGTGGCCCCATAGGGGGCTCCACCGAAGGCCCCAGTGGGACCGCCCGCATGCGTCATCCACCACCCAGCACAGCGTTTCGCGGCCCCATAGGGGGCACTACCGAAGGCCCCAGTAGGACCGCCCGCGTGCGTCATCCACCACCCAGTACAGCGTTTCGTGTCCCCACAAAGCTCCACCTAAGGTCTCCGTGGCCGAACTCGCATGGCGGCCTAGTGGCGGAGTTCGCATGGTGGTGAATTTTGCTTTCTAGAGGTTTTTCGGTGTATTCGACGTATTTGGGCCGCTTTCGGCCTGCTCGCTCTCTCTGCCCCGCGCAGCGGACGACCCGCTCGCGTCGCCGGGACCCCTTCGGGGCGACCAGCGAGCGTCGCGTGGACTCCGTGCGGCGCCGCGTCCGCAGCCTTGGACGTGGGCGTGCACGGGCAAAAAGGGAAAATAATAACGGGAAGGAAGCGGGCGCGATCCTCGTGAGAGGCGCGCCGACATGGGCGTCGACATTTATGCACGTAGACTCGCGCGCGCGCAGACTCATCCACAATCAGACTCACTCGCTCTCAGTCTCTCGCACGCAGACCTATCGTCTTCGCTCGCGTTGTGTGCCCCGCCACCCATGTCGGCACGCCCCTCGCACGGTTCGTGGCCCCAGAGGGAGCGCGGGGGAAGATGATATTCATGCTTGCGGTATTCACACCTGCGTATGGTTGGGTCCTTCGCCAGGCTAGTTTTTCCCTGGACTACGAGTGCAGTTACTTGTTGACGCTTCGCGTGTCCCCACCAACCCACCCAGAAACGATTCGCAAGGGGGGCTGTCGTGAGAACGGCTGTGGATGAGAGCGTAAAGGAAACCAAGTGGGGAAATAACAGTCGAAGCGAAGCCACGAAGGATCAGCCCAAACATCTTCAAACTTTAGCCACTTTGGGGTCCCCTGAAGCTTCTCGGAACCACCTTGCCGCTCTCTTGGGGGCCCGTTTGGAGCGACTGAGGCAATCTTGGAGCTCTCTTGGGGCCCTGATGGCGGGTTTTCGGGCACCCCTGTGACCATCCTGGACGCCAGCGATCAGAGGGGTGGTCATCCGATCGCGCCGCCCCTCTGGGGCCCAACAACTCGTCTCTTGGAGGCCTCTTTGGACGTTCTTGGGTTGCTGCTGGAGCCTTGGGGGCCGTCCTGGACTCTCTGTGGGCCATTCTTGGGACCTTGTTGAAGTGTCCTGGGGTCATCTTGAGGCATCGGATTGCTGTCGGCATCGAAGCTGCGAGGAGTACGGTAGGTTTGGGTCGTGTCGACCAGCGGCGGCCCCGCCGCTGGCGTTCAACGTTGGACGCCGCCAGCGACCTAGAATCGGTCGGTGCTGATCAATCTGACGTTTCAGAAGCGGCCGATCGTTCAAAGTTGAACCATCCTGCGCTGTCAGAAACCAGCGCCGAAGTCGGCACGACACGAAGCTGCCGTGCAACATCCCACTTTTAGTTCTTCCGATTTTGGCGACTTGCACTGGGCGGACCTGTGGCCACCTCGGCCCGTCCTGAGGTGGTTTTCAGGGTTTTGGACGCATGCTGGAGGCGATCTCCAGCCAACTTGGACCATCTTTGGCGACCCTGGGAACAATGTTGGGCCAGCTAGGGCCACATTGGGGACATCTAGGGCACTGGGCACCTCAACGCCTCAGGGAATCACGGTCCAACAGGCGTTGGAAGAGCTGACTCCTTAAACCACCTGCGCCTGGAGGGCGAGTGGACGTACAATTACGACCATGGGTAAGGGTTCCACCCCCACTCCTGCTGTTGCTATTCTCATTTTTCGTGTCATTCGTATTATCATGACGACTTGCGGTTGCTACTTCTAAAATTGATGCTGCAGTGGCTGCTGCCAGCGTTAGGGACGAAGGAGATGACAGCGTGTTTCCCATACCAGTCGACAGCGCTTCAGGTCTATAGACGGGCGGGAAGCAGGTTTGCTTTTCCAGCTGCCTGCCTCTTGGCACGATTCATTAGCCAATCGTTCCCGGACTCGAGCGAAGCCCGCGCGCCAAGGACTCTCAGCGGTCAAGCGCTTGCACAAGCCGACCAGGCACATGCATGACAGCCGGCAGTGCCACACCGCAGTGTACCCGGAGGAGTGCTTCGGAAGTGTGGAGTGGGCCATGACCGCTGGCACCGGGGGGCGAAAGCTCGGCCGCGCTGTTTGTTCAGTCTAGTCACCTCTGGTTTTCTCCAGAGTCGGCTCACATTAGCTGTGTTTCTTCAGGGGGCATGATCCTCCGTCGGAGGCCACGTCTGTTTTCTGTTTCAGTCGGCGTGTTTTTCCGACAAGCGCCAAGGCAGATTATCCAGCTGCCTGCGGCAAACCCCGCCACTGCGCATGTGCAACAGCGTAGCAGGAAGGAGTTTGAAGTCTTAACGCTTTGCGTACAGAGGAGGAGGTCAGTGTTTTTCTCTTCGCCACGGGCGCGGCCCGTCCTAGCACGCTCGGCGTTCGACTCGTCTTCCCGCGCCCGCGGACCAAAAATGTACAGAGGAGGCCCATGCCAAGAAACACTCTGCTTGCCTCCAGGGTGTCCTGGGTTTCTTGGGTTTCGATGGTTTTTCCATGGAAAACTTGACGTGCCTACACCAAAAATCACTGGACGCCCTGGGGTCTCAGGGTTGGGTTTCTTGTGGAAGGGTTCTCGTGGTCGATCTAAGAACGATCCAAGTCCATCCAAGAACGATGCCTGGGGGAGCTGCCCTACTAATTAGAAAGGGCGTGGCATTCTCTGCAGAGGTCGGCGAATCGGGGGGCCTCCGTGGGCCAGAGGCCTCCTTGGATGCCTTTCCGAGCCTTTCGGGGCGTCTCTCGGGGGCTCTTAGGGGCCTCTTGGGGCGTCTGGGGGGCCTCTTGGCGGCTCCTGGGGGCCTCTCGGGGCGCCTTGCGCCAACGCATGTGAGGCAAATGTGCCCCTTCTTTGCGTAGCGTTCCATTATCAAACTGATGGGAAGGGTTCATTCAATGGAGTCAATGATTCGAAGTCCGGATTCTGAAGCAATCGTGCATCACGACATCTGAGTTTCGGCGCTCCGGCGCTCCCGCCGAGCTCTTAGAGGGCCGCGCCCCCCCCCCCCCCGGGCGAACATTGGCGCCGTGCCGCGGTCGAGGCAACTCAAACAAACCTCACCAGAAAAGACATAGCATTCTAACACGCCCACTATGGCGGATTTGTTTGCGGCGGGGCCAAGAACAGCTGGGAGGGGGAGAAAGACGTGCCAAGCGGTATTTCTGAGAACGTGCGGCTCCTTCGTCGGAGTTTCTACGTTGGTTTGCACGCGCCTGGTTTTCTGACGGGGTTACCTTTCTGCCTCCGCCACGGTTCCGTCAGATTCTGCCTCTTCTCGCCACGTCCCATGCGTTAAAATCAAAGGTAAGAGTTGTTCCCAGTCGGTGCCCATCCGCCCGAAACTCTCCTCGACAAGGGGTGCCGTGTCGCAGGCACAGGCACCTCCAGGAGACTCTCCAGGACTTTGTCTTGCATTTCTTGGGCTCAAGAGTCGATGTGGCCCCCCTCTGAGGGGCTCTTTGGCCGTGGATGTCAACATTTTTTTTTTTTTTTTTTTTTTTACCTGCAGTCTCTTAGTATTTTTCATCGTTCGCTGAGGGACCCAGATATCGGAGTACCACGTCTTTCGAGAGATGCACCTCCAATGAGACCTGCTAAAGCGGCCATGGCCTGCGTCTAGTCTCGTTGAGCTGTCGAATGGCCGGACCACGAGACATGTAGCCTCCTCTCGTGTGTTCTCGTGGCTCGCTCCATCGATTGTAAGCTTGGGGCGGCGCAGAGTGTGGTTCGGTCGGGCCGAAGCATAAGATCGAGGTCGGTTCGTGGAGGGTACCCTGATGTTCTTCGTGCTTGTTGGATGTTTTTGTGCATCCCGGGGAGGGTACCCCTGGATGTTCTGTGAGGTTTGGCCGGCAGAGGGTCTCATGTTCTTGAAGGATGCTCATCTGTCCTGGGTCCGACTGTGCCGACCGCCTTCTTGGTATGGACAGCGCTGGCGTTAGGGCCGTCCTGTGTGGAGCTTCTAAAGGCGCCCTCCCTGGCTTCGAAGGCTCGCGGTGGGCTGGATCTTTCCAGGAGCCTCCACCATGATTTCGAGGCGCCCACGGGCTTCCGACGGGGGGCTCCTGGGGGCCTTCCCTCCAAAGACGACCCGCGAAGCTACCATCTGTTGGATTACGACTGAACGCCTCTAAGTCGGAATCCATGCTGGCTAAGCAGTGTTGTCCACCATTTCCATTGTTACATGACAGGCATTAGGTCTCGGCCCTGTTGCATACGAACACTATTACCGCGAAAGGTTTTGTGCTTAATCTTAATTTCCAACTTTGGACCTGCCCCAGGGTGCGCCTTGGCCAGAACCTCGAGGCGAGCCCAGCCGCGAGGCCCAGAGGGCCAGAGACTCCCCGCCGGACCTCTTGCCCTCGACGCCGTCCTGCCCCCACGGCCTTTCTCGTGCCGGCTGCCCAGGGGGGGGGTGGCAAGGGCTCCATCGGCACCAAAAGTGAACGGGGCTGATCTGTCCCAGTGGCTCATCCGCGCCCAGTCTTTTCCATGCAGGAAAAGGTTGGGGGTTCGCAGAGGGATGGTTATCCCCAGGTGGGGCTTGGGAACGGGCCCAGCCGGATCTGTTTAATGCGTTTCCTTCTTCCAGGGGCCGTCCCGAGCGATTTTTCCTCCAACCCCACCTTTGCCCCTACCCCACCTTTGTGCCCCCCCGACAAGGCTGGACGCGGTCGAACGAGGCTAGGAAAGGGGGAAATCCGTTCCAGAGCGTTCCGGAACGCTCTCAGAGCGTTCCGGAACGCTCTGAGAAGTCGGCGGCGCCCGAGACATTTTTCAGAGCCGCTGGATCTCAGAGATTCTCGATTTATCTTCACCCGATTTAATCCTCATCCTGGCCTCGTCTTACGCGGTAAGGGCTCCGTTTGCGCGCAGGAGCTTCCAAGGAGCCCACGAGTCACTGGCTCACTGGGATCGCCTGGCGCCGCGCGCTTGGACCCCGGGGCCTCCCGCAGCTCGCCTGGAGCCTGCCTGGAGCCTCCGCGGCCTCTGACCTGGTCCAGTGGCACTATTCCCCAGAAGTCGGGCATGTCCCTCTATGGGAGGAATGTTCAAGAGCAGGGGAAACATAGGAGCCCGTTTCTTTATTGCTTGGGGCACGACGGGCTTCATGGCCCCCGCTCCCCCCCCCCCTATGACGTAACACTCCCCCCCCCAGTGCGCTCTGGGCACTGCCGCCGTGCGCATTTGGATCCGCGTAAGTGTCCGCGTGGGAATCCGCATAGGAGTCTGGTCCGCAGTCGTCGTCGTCGTCGTCGTCGTCGTCGTCGTCGTCGTCGTCGTCGTCGTCGTCGTCGGCGTCGTCTCGTGGCTCGTCGCTCGTCGCTCATCGTCGTCGTGCGCGCGGACGCGGCTGGAGCCTGTTTTTTTATACTGGGATGATGACGGCAATCATCTGGGGGAGGTGAGGGGGTCGATGACGTCACATTTCGCGCTGGCGGCGTTTGGGAATGCTTAGGCATGACGGAGGACGGGTAGCACCAGCATGTAGGTGGCGATCTGCACCACAAGTGTGTGTACACCACAGTTCTTGCGTGCACCGCAGCGCCTGTGTACACCACACCGCCTATGTACACCACAGCAGCCGCGTGCAACACAGCGTCAGTTTGTGCCACCGTGCCTGCGGGCACAACAGCTCTTGTGTACACCACAGCTCCCGCATACACCACATCAGGCGTGTGCAACACAGCACCAGTGTACACTACAATGCCTGCGTGCATTGCAATGCTCGTGTGCACCACGGCGCTTGTGTGCACCACAGCAACTGTGTGCAACATAGCACCACTGTTGCACATAGAATGTTAGAACGAATCCGGATGACATAATGGAGCGCTTGTGGATTCCACAGAAAACAATAGAACACAAATGCTTACGGACAAAGGAGCGCCGCTGGAATCTACGAATCCTCCCGAGTCCGCCCGCACCACCTTAATTCCTCCCATATGCGTCCAGGAGGCTCCAGCTAAATTGGCCGTCCGAGAACCAAGTGAACCGATTCAACAGACCATTCTGCGGTGCACGCTGACATGCGCACGTGCGTTGTAGCACCAGGCCGCACGACAGGGGATAAGGAGGAGGAGGGGGAGGAGGAGGGGGAGGGGGAGGAGGAGGAGGAGGAGGAGGAGGAGGAGGAGGAGGACGAGGAGGAGGAGGCGGAGGAAGAAGGAGGAGGAGGAGGAGGAAAAGGAGGAGGAGGAGGAGGAGGAGGAGGAGGAGGAGGAGGTGGAAGTGGAGGAGGAGGGAAGAGTGTGGAAAACGTCGAATGCTGGCGTGGCGTTTAGTTGTCCGCAGCAGATCCTCAAATACATGCTCCTTTTACCTGCCCTATGCACGCAGGCACTGTGGTGTACAGCGCTGCGTTGCACGCGTATGCTGTGGTGTAGACAGGCTCTGTGGCGTGCACAAGCGCTGCAGTGCACGCAACTTGTGGTGTACACAGGCGCTGTTTTGCACATGGTTTCTGCGGTGTACACATGTACACTGGCGCTGCAGTGTACGCAAGCATCGGGTGTACGCAGGTATACGCGGTGTTGCGGTGTTTCTGTGTACGCAGGCGCTGTGGTGTACACGCGCGCTGTGGTTCGCGCGAGCGTTGTGGTGTACACAGGCGCAGTGGGGCAGATCGCCACCTACATGCTGCTCGCGTCGTCGTCGTCGTCGTCGTCGTCGTCGTCGCTCGTTGCTCGTCGGTCGTCGCGTCGTGCGCGCGGGCGCGGCTGTGGTGCCGGAGCCACACGGCGGGGGTGGCGTTCCGTCATATCCCCCCACGCCCGTCATCGCCAAACATAAAGAAACGCGCTCTAATCCGTCAGGGGACGATTATCCGTGCTCTTTCGATTGGTTGTCATTCCCTACCTAGGCTCTGCCTAGAAGGGTTCTTACTCTCTGGGCTTAAAGGGGCCAGGCAGTGGAAAGCGCCCCGGGCGGTTCCCCCAGTATCCGCCCCGCGGTTCCCCCAGTTACGTCCCCTTAGCTTAGCGTCGCTTATCTCATCTTAGCTTAGCTTTTTTCATCTTAGCTTAGCTTAGCTTCATCTTAGCTCAGGTTTATCTTAGCTTATCTTACCTTCATCCGAGCTTCGCTGAGCTTTAGCATAGAAGAGCACAGCATAGCATAGCATAGCGTAGCATAACATAGCGCAGCACAACATATCATAGCATATCCCAGCATAGCATAGCATAGCGCAGCATAGCATAGCATAGCATAGCATAGCGCAGCACAGCACAGCACAGCATAGCACAGCGCAGCATAGCATAGCATAGCATAGCATAGCATAGCATAACACAGCATAGCAGCAAAGCAAAGGCAAAGCAACAGCAGCGACAGCAAAACAAAACACAAGCAACGCAAAGCAGAGCTAAGCAACATCAACATCAAAGCAAAGGAAAGGCAACGCAACATCATAGCGTAGCATAGCACAGCATAGCATAGCATAACATATCATATCATATCATAGCATACCATAGCATAGCTTAGCACATGACCACATACCATAGCATAGCATAGCACAGCATAGCATAGCAACTAATGCTGCTTTCCTAGGGGCTCCAACTTCTAGGTAGGGTCGCACTGGGGTTATTTTTCTTCCAGAACCCGCCTGTAGGAGCACATGCCGACCTAACCCCAATCAGGCTTCCCAGAGGGGTTCTTGCCTGTCTGCCTCTGAAGAACTGGTGGGGTGGCGAGGGGCCGCGCCGGCCGGCGTGCCTCGGGGGCTGCTCGGCCTTTGCTTCCCCTCGCCGCCCCACCAGCACTGCGCCTGATCCGCTCGCTGGCGAGTCCCGCTGCGGCGGCGAGGCAGACGGACCATCACCAGCGCGTGTCTCCGGCTGTGGCGACCAACCGCGCCCCTCGTGCAGGCCAGCCCAGTGACCCCTGCGGCCCCTGGAGACCTGCGGGGCGCTCCTTCCAGGCATCTCGCCGCTGCTGCCGTGACGGCCCAGAGCCGTGCGCCGCAGCGCGCGCGGTTGGCGGCCCTCGAGCACCAGTCTGGGGCTTGACCGCCTTGTCGCAGGCTTAGAGTTTGACACCAACACCAATATCTGCGGTGTGCCTCCACCGAGGGAAGACGATCCCGATCTCGGTGATGGTGGTAGTCTTCTGGCTTCCAAGGTGGCCGAAACATTTACACCAACACCGAAATCTAGGATCATCTCCCCCCTGTGGAGGCCCCCCCCCGTGTTGGTGTTGGTGCCAATGCCCAGGCCTCCACGTTCCTCTCTTGATGGGGCCAGCCTTCAGGGGCAGCAGTAGGGGTCGACTAGGGGATCGCCTGCTGAGTTGGTTTGTGCTAATTCTTTTCCGTTCAATCTTCCAAACCTGGGTTCAACGTTGACTGGGTGTGCGAGCGATCTACGTGATGTTCATGGATTCGGCGAAGAAGATCAATTACGGGGCAAATCGATTCTGTAGTCGATCCCATATTCGAAGGGGGGGACGGGCATAGGGGGGGATGCATCGACCCCCAATCGCCCACTGATGGCCGATAGGGGCCCAATAGCCCCAACCTGCCCAGGAGAGTGCACATTCATCATCGAGGGCCTGTCGGCGATCTGTCGATGATGCCTCGCCGATTCCAGGTCGATGCATCTCCCCCTAATTATGCCAGTCCCCACCTGCCCAGGAACGTGCGCATTCACTATCGGGGGCCTATCGCCGATCTGTCGATGTGATGCATCGCCAATTCCAGGTCGATCCCTCCTCCCTATGCCAGTCCCTGGGGAAACCCAAAAATACCGGTAACGCTACTCCCAGACCTCTCCCAGGGTGCGTTCTGGCCAGGATTTCCAGGCGAATCCAGCGGTGGCGACGAGGGCTTCCTAGGAGGCCGAACCAGGGACAGCGGCCGAAAGGGTAGCGTGATGGGTACCTCATCCTCCTCTGAGTCCCTCCCTTATCGCTGCCCCTCAGCCATGGGAGGGGCGTTCCTCGCGGCTGCTCCCTCGGGTGCGCGCCAAGTGCCCCGCGCGAGCGCGCTCGCCGCACGGCGCGCGGCGCATCGCGCGCGCCGCCCGCCGCGCTGCCACGCGGTCCGTCGTGAGGCCCTGGCCCGTCCCACGCCAGGAGCGCCTCGGGCTCCTGCTATCGAAGACGCATCCGGCGAATCACCGCCGCCCCTTGCTTTTCGAGTCCAGAGCTTGGATACAGTTGTCGGACGAGGCGTTCCCCCAGCCGTCGTTGAACACCTTCGGGGAACACGGTAGGAAGAGGAGAGTGGGGAGAAAAAGGAAAAGGGAGGAGGAGGAGGAGGAGGAGGAGGAGGAGGAGGAGAGGAGGAGGTGGAGGAGGAGGAGGAGGAGGAGGAGGAGGAGGAGGATGAGGAGGAGGAGGAGGCACGTCAGGCACCCTTGTGGCAAGACTACGGGGAGCGGCAGATTTGGTGGCCTACGGCCCATCCCGCCACCGTGCCTGGGTTTGGGCTCGGACCCCCCTTGGGCCCGACGAGGCCACGCGACAAGACGCGCCAGGCCCCAGAAGGCTTGAGAGCGAGGGATCCGGGCCCCCGAAAGACCCCCTCAGGAGTGAGGCGTGCCTGGGTTTGGGTTCGGACCCTCTTGAGCCCGACGAGGCCACGCGATAGGACGCGCAGGCCTCAGAGGGTTTGAGGGCGAGGGGTCCGGGCCCCCGAAGGACCCCCTCTCAGGAGTGAGGCTCGGGGCCCGAGGATCGGGCCCAGGACCGGAGGGCTCGCCCAAGCCCCGCCCGCAGTCGGTGCCTCTCTCTCTCTCTGTTTCTCTTTTTAATATATATATATATATATATATATATATATGTATCTCTCTCTCTCTCTCTCGCTCTCTCTCGCTCTCGCTCTCCCTCTCTCTCTCTCTCTCCCCCCCCCAGGCATGGCAGCCCACCCGGAGTGGTACGAGGGACTGAACAGATCTTCTGCGTTCGAGGAGTTCCAGCAGAGGGTGTTCTGGTCCAACGGCTCGCTGTGCCCAGAGCCGTGCGCGCCGGCTCCCCGCAGCGGCGGCGAGCTGTTCTGCTTCGCCGTGGCCAGGATCAGGGGCAGCGCAACCGCGTCACCGGCCCCTAGGAAACCATCCCCTTCCGTGGCGTCCCCCTCGCCTCGCCCCAAGACGTAAGTGTTCAGGAGGAAAAGAAACACAGACACAATTAATCCTCGATTTCCCAGAAAATATGGGAAAATATGAGACATGGGGAGGAAGACAGAAACCCAGAAAATATGGGAAAATATGGGGGATATGTTTATTTGTGTGTATTTATTTGTGTGTCCCAGGGCCCCTTCAAGTGTGCAGTGAACCCTTGCATCCTTGCCCCTTCGGTATGCGGCATCCTTGGGCATCCTGCCGCGCTCCGCACGGAAAGCGTCAACACGGCGTTCCAAGGCCCTTGCATCCTTACCGTTCATCCTTACCATCCTGGTCGAGTGTGCGGCCAGAGGGAAGCTTGACAGGCGAGGATGACGCCACGGATGGGGATGGTTTGCAAGGGGTCGGCGTGGCCGCGCCCGACAGGATGGACGATTCCGACGGCGCGGACTCGAGTTCTGCGGACAGCGAGGAGGGACTCTTGAGGCCAGCGGGCGTCAACGTCTGCCCCTTGCGCCGAGGCTGCTTCTTGGAGACGCTTGGAGCAGGAGGAGAAGAGCAATGATCAGAAGATCGTCGATCCCCGGAAATGTATGGGAACATATGGGAACACATGGTGTGTGTGTGGGGATGACGGAACTCCAGAACAAAAAATGGGGGAACCCTTGGAGTAGTGTATATTTATGTGTGTGTGTTGTGTCCTTAGGCCCCTCTGGAGGGTGAGGAGGATGGGGCAGGGGAGGCATGGAGGAGGAGGAGGAGTGATGACAATGGTCCATCAGTGTACCGCGTCAGATTATCCTGGCACCTCCTGGTCGGCCCGTATTGTGCCATCGCAGGCGTTTGCCTGCGCGGTCGTGGCCTCTTGGGGCCTCTTGGGGGCCGGTTGGGGGCCCGTTGGGGCTTCTTTTTAGGGCCTCCAAGGGTTTCTTTTGGGGGCCTCTCGGGGGCCTCTGGGGCTTTCCTGGGAGCCTCCTGGGGGCCTCCTGGGGGCCTCTTGGGGCGGAAGGCTCGACTTGGTGGTTCGTGTTTCCCCTCTTGGGCTCCTCTTGTGGCCGTCTTGGGGTCCTCTTGGGAGATCTTGGGCGCCTCTGGGTCCGTTTTGGGGCCCTCTTGGACCGTCTTGGGGCCCTCTTGGGGGGCCTCTCGGGGCGGTCCTGGGGGCCTCTGGGGTCATCTTGGAGCGTCGGAAGTCCGAAAACGCGAGAACGCGGAAAACATAGAAGAAATAGAAGAACACAAGAAACATCAATAATTGTTAATTTTTTTTTGCCCTCTTTCGGGTCCTCTTGGGGCGCTCTGGGGGCTCTTTTGGGTGTCTCTTGGACCGTCTTCGGGCCATCTTGGGCGTCTTCGAGCGCTCTCTGGCCGTGATTCCCATTCGTGGGCCCTTTTGGAGCTGCCTCGAGGTTCCTCGGGCCGCTCCTGGGACGACCCGGAGGGCCCCGATAACCGCCCCTGTTGGGCGTTGCGTAATAGGGGGGTCATAAATGGGGGGGTGGCGAGGGTGGTCCGAAAAGGTACCCAAACGGTACCCAAACGAGCCCCCTGGGGCCTCGGAGGGGCCCGAAAGGGGCACGAAAGGGGACCGTTTCTGACCCCCCCATTTGTGACCCCCCCATTAAGCAACGCCCAACCCTGGCAGAGCACCATCTTTGAACCGAGTCTGTCGGGACCTTGCCAGGGGTTCCGAGGGGGTACTTTTTTTCGTCCAGGGACCCCCAGGGGCGGCAGCGCGCGCGCGCGAATTCCACCATACTACGGTAGGTTCGTGTCGTGTCGACCGGCGGCGACCCCGCCAGTGTCGTTCAACCTTGAACGCCGCGGGCGACCCAGAATCGTTCGATGTGGAACGATTTGGACGTTACGGAAACGGCCGATCGTTCAAGGTTGAACGATCCCCGCGGTGTCAGAAACCAACGCCGGGGTCGGCACGACACGAACCTGCCGTATCCTGACACCTCCTGGATTTTTCTCTTCGCGCCAGTCCTGAGAGTTTGGGAGATAGGGGAGTCGGGTAAGCAAACAAGCCAGCCGTGCAACCTGAGGGCGCGTAGTCAAAGTAAGGACTGACAAGTTTTGGCGGTGCGCCACACGCGTCCCGAAAGCAGTCCGCCAAACGCGCTGCAAAGAAGATGATGTGACGCGACGGCCTGCGATCATACATGGAGTTTGTTGGTCCGGGGTAATTCGAGATACTCTGCTTCATTTCCACCAGCCTGTCCAGAAGCGAATCCAGGGCGAATTGTCGCGATAAGGAGGGTGAAGGAGTAATCAGTAAAACAAAGAGGGGCCAGGCAAGTCAAATAAAGGATCAGCTTCAGCAGCCCTCAGACATGCGCGCGCATGCATAACGCGCGCGCGTGCGCACGCACGCATACTTACTCACAGTTGCAGCCGCGCGCACACCATACAACTCTACTATACGCCTTGCGTGGTCATCGCACCATTCACACCCGATGCATGCAGATAACCGCACACACCCACGCACATCATGCACAGGACTCTGCAGTGGGCGCGCAGGAGGTGGTCCGTGAGCGCGACCTCTATTCACGATGCGCCGGTAAGGCGTGGCAGGCGCGGCGTTTCCTCTGCACCACTTGGGGGTGCGGACGGGGTGGTCCCAGAGCGCGGCCTCAATCGACGACGCGCTCGCAAGGCGTGGCATGCGGTGCACCTCCTCGACGTCACATGGTGAGCGCAGGGGGTTGTTCCTGAGTGCGGTCTCAACATATCCGTCCCAGGGTCGCAGCTCTGCCGTCCCGTGACCGTGCCTGCTCAAGGGCTCCCTCGAGGGCGCGAAGTTATTCGCGGTTCGCGCTTCGCGGTCCTCGTTCCTTCTCCCCCTCCTCCTCGTCCTCCTATTCTCCCTTTGGGGGGGCGGCGCGAGAGCGCGAAGTTATTCGCGCTTCGCGCTTCGCGGAGCGCGAAGCGCGAAGTTGGGAGCCCTTGCTGCTGTGCGCGCGCGCGCGCGCGCGCGTGTGTGTGTGTGTGTGTGTGTGTGTGTGTGTGTGTGTGTGTGTGTGTGCCGCGTTATCGCCTCGGCGCTGCCCTCCCCCTCAGAGCGCTCGCTTGTTCCAACGCTGGCCGATTTTGGTTGCTGCCTGCCCCGCGAGGGCGCAGCTTGGGCGAGGCGCGGGCATCTTCGCCTGCGATGACCACGCCGTTCTCAGCGACGTCGACAAGGTGCTGGGCGACCTGGCTGCTGGACCTGTTAGAACGGTCCGAATCCCTTCCACGAAGCCGGATGGCATCACCAAGGACGGGACCGCGCAGAACACCCAGATTTTCTTGCAGGCGTGGGAGACAATCCGGAAGGACTCCAGGTACTTGAGCTTCGATTGGACAGTGAAGGTGCGGGGGCCTGCAGGGCCAGATCTGATTTCCGAGGGGGGTTGCTTGATCGACGCCGCGAGAGGGGTGCTTGATTGACGCTCAGGAAAGACCATGCAATTTGGTTGTCCAGAAGTGCGGAGAATTACTGCCGCGCCCTGCTTTTTTTGGAAATGCCTATGTGGCCAAGCGTTGGGCCAAAGTTTGGCCGTGTCATTGGCCCCCCAGCCGTTGTGGAAATCTTTGTGGGGGCATTTGGGTGAAGAGGAGGAGGAGGAGGAGGAGGAGGAGGAGGAGGAGGAGGAGGAGGAGGAGGAGGGGGAGGAGGAGGAGGAAGAGGACGAGGAAGAGGATGAGGAGGAAGAGGATGAGGAGAGGGAAAAGGAGGAGGAAGAGGATGAGGAGGAGGACGACGATGATGCCTCTGAGGCCTCGCTGGGGCAATGTTGGGTCCTGTTGGGGAACTGGGCCGTCTTGGGGCCCTCTAGGGACCGTCTTCGAGACCTCTTGGGCCGTCTGGTG